TAAGGCAACATACTGTTATGTGTGTTTTGTTTTTTTTTTTGAGACAAGGTCTCACTCTGTTACTGGAGTCCGATGGTATAATCACACCTTACTGCAGCCTTGAGTTCCCAGGTTCCAGTGATCTCCCACCTCAGCCCTGCACACCCCCCCACCACCACCAGTAGCTGGGAATATAGGCATGCAACACCACACCTAGCTGATTTTTTTTTTTTTCCCCAAAAAATGATCATGAAAGGAATAGGTAGAGCTGTAGGCCCAAATAATTTTGCACCTCACTGATTGGAAATGCTGGGGAACTTTCCCTGCAGCCCTGCAGGAAAAACCTCATACTGAAACCCAAAAAGCACAAAACATGGGTCTTCCAAAAACTCTTTTATCTAACAGGACTTTCACCTTACACATTAGTGGAGATAAGATGACCCAAGCCCCCATCTTAACATAAACTGCTGAAGCAAAGGCTCTTTCCTTTAATATTCTGTTTAGTTCACAGCTGGGTTTGAGCATGTTGGATCCCAGGTGGCAGCAGGGTAGGTGGGAGCAATCATCCAAGACATGGGGAGAAACCTAATTTTTTAATTTTTGTAGACATGGTGTCTCACTATGTGGCCCAGGCTGGTGCTGAACTCCTGGACTCAAGCGATCTGCCTGCCTTGGCCTTCCAAAGTGCTGGGACTACAGGCATGGGCCACCGTGCCTGGCCTGTATGTGCTTTTATATGCGTATGTATCTTTGAAGAGGGATCCAAGAAACAGTGGCTTACCTTTAGGGAGAGAAATTAGACAGCTGAAGGGGTAGGGGTGGAGGTTTCTTATTGTTAAACTTCTTTACACTTTCCCAGCCACTAGCATACCATCCAGAATTGTGCTTCCTATAGAAATAGCTCCCTGAGGAGCCTTGCTCATGCCACAGCCACTGCAGTACAGAGGGGCAGCAAAGGACTGCCAAGTGGTCCCAAGCCATCCAGCAATATTTGGATGGAATTAAAACCCTGCCCAACCTCACATTACCCATAATGTGCTAAAAGTCTTTTTAATAAATCTGTAATCTTTAACTCAGAGATTTTCTTTCCTTTTTTTTTTTTTTGTGAGGGAGTCTTGCTCTGTTGCCCAGGCTGGAGTGCAGTGGCATGATCTTGGCTTACTGCAACCTCCGCCTCCCAGGTTCAAGCTCTTCTCCTGCCTTAGTCTCCTGAGTAGCTGGGATTACAAGCACGAACCACCACACGTGACTAATTTTTATATTATTAGTTGAGACGGGGTTTCACCATATTGGCCAGGCTGATCTTGAGTCCTGAACTCCTGACCTCATGATCCACCGGTCTCGGCCTCCCAAAGTGTTGGGATTATAGGCGTGAACCACCATGCCCGGCCCTTTTTTTTTCACTGCTCCTTGTGGAGCAGGGTATAAGAAGTGTGCCCAGAGTTGCCAGAGAACTTATTTCTAACAGAATTGTTCCTAAGGAAGAAATTTCCAAATTGTCAAAAATCTATACCAAGGAGGTTCACCACAATGTTGTTTATAATCAGAAAAAAGCTGGACTCACCCGAGAAGTGCAATGATGCAGACAGTGATGGGTTAAGTAAACCAGGAAATCGGCTGTGGGGAAGAGGAAGACTGGGGCATGGGGACAGTGGGGAAAGACTTTTCACTGTGTATATACACATTGTCTTCTACTTTCGAATTTTTTATCAAGTACAAAAAATTCCCCAAAATAATAAAATTCAAGTTAAAAATAAGTATATAGGCCAGGCACAGTGGCTCATGTCTGTAATCCCAGCACTTTGGGAGGCCAGGGCAGGCGGATCACCTGAGATCAGGAGTTCAAGACCAGCCTGACCAACTCAATCTGTACTAAAAATTCAAAAATTAGCCAGGCATGGTTGCACATGCCTGTAATCCCAGCTACTTGGGAGACTGAAGCAGAAGAATTGCTTGATCCCGGGAGGTGGAGGTTGCAGTGAGTTGAGATCACGCCATTGCACTCCAGCCTGGGCAATAAGAGCGAAACTCCATCTCAAAAAAAAAAAAAAAAGTATGCAAGCTTTTCATTGGGAAATGAGATAAGTAGGTTATCAACAGAAAAAATGGTAAAATCCTACTTAACAAACATAAGACAATAGGTTTAGATGTATTTATCCGAGTAGAAAATAATACACAAGGACAGACACCAAAATATTAGCCGAGGTTACCTTTGGTTGATAGGATTTGGGTGATTTGTTTCCACAACGTCAAATAGGTCTCCAAAAAATAAAGGTGAAAAATAACACAACCTTTTATTTTTTTTGAGATGGAGTTTTGTTCTTGTCACTCAGGCTGAAGTGCAACGGCGCGATCTCGGCTCACTGCAACCTCCGCCTTCCAGGTTCAAGTGACTCTCCTGCCTTGGCCTCCCAAGTAGCTGGGATTACAGGCATGTGCCACCACGCCCAGCTAATTTCTATATTTTTAAGTAGAGACAGGGTTTCATTACGTTGGCCAGGATAGTCTCAATCTCTTGACCTCATGATCCATCTGCCTCAGCCTCCCAAAGTGCTGCGATTACAGGCATTAGCCACTGTGCCTAGCCCACAACCTTTTAAAAGTCAACCCGAAAGGGTCTGTAGCATGTAAGGGGAGCATATTGGGGCTTCTCAAGGGCTTTGGTTTGTTCCTTACAGCCCATGGCCAATGCCATAAATCTCACCAATCGGTTCTGCACTCCTTGACTCTGCTCTTAAGCACTGACCTTCAGGAGCTTGAAGCGAGAAGCTGGAACAATGAAGTGTCTATTCTGCTTCTTCTTGCAAATGCTGCAGCTACAGAAAGACAGAGCAAATTCCAGATTGTAAGCAGCCACCTGCGTCCTCTTTGCCTGAGCAGCCCAGCCTGATATGTTTTCAGAGCCAGCTGCGAAGCCCCTTTCAGCTCCCTCCAGGGCCGAGGAGCTGCCTCTGGTTTGCAGGTACAGCAGAGCCCAGGGGGGTCCCAAGTCGGCAGTCGAGGACCTGCAATGCTCAGAATACAGGACCAACAGACACGTCTGTGCTGCCACCTCCCAGTTCTTTACAGTGAAGAAAAGCGCTGGACTTCAGAGACACTTAGAAAACAAATTTCAGACACTGCTACAACCTGATGTCTCCGAGACATCCACACCAAAAATGGACAAGGAAGTTTAGGTTTCCCTCTTTCTTCATGACCACGTCACAGAAAGTCCAGCTCCAAGTAAAACATGTCCCCAGAATTACCATCTCTGGAATTAAACTGAAGTCCCCTCTTTTCAGGTCACCTTTGAAAAAGTTCTAATTTAGTATAGAATTCTCTCACAAGTTATTCCACAGTGCTTCTTTTCCAATCTGGATTCTATTGTTAGTAGCCTGCTCAGTTCTCCATTCGAGTAATTCCATCGTAAATGTTTATTATTCATATATAATTCCAGTACCTAGGGGCAAAAAGGACTGGATGCTGTTAAATAATTAGCTGCATGCCAACTCAGGGTCCCAAAGCCAGAGCCTGTCATCCCTGCTCCATCATAATGCCAGGGAAGGTGGTACAAATCAGGCCCTCGACAGCCGGCAGCACCATCTGCCCCAACGGAAGAGCAGATCGAGAGCATGGAGCCTAGGGAGCCTCCAGATGTACATATCCTTCACTAAAGCACCCTTCAACTCTCCCCAACTCTGGACTCCAAGGCCTTCCACTCAGTACCCAGCCAGGCACTGCTGCAGCTAACCACCCCCAGCTCCTTAGCAGTGTCAGTCTGAGGGTGAAGGTGCCAGCCACGAGCCCTGAGGACCCTGCTCTGTGTCACCTGGGCTGTGCTGTTGAAGCTCTGTTGTGAGCCACACAAAAGGAGAAAGAATAGAACAATGATCCTTTCTGTCCCCCTTACCTGACTTCAGCAGTTACCAGCCCATGGCCAATGTTTCTCTGTACCCAACTCCCAGATTATCTTGAAGTATTGCATTTTAATTCTGAAATTCTTTTAAGCCAAGTTAAGGAAAAAAAAACTCACTTGCAGTCAAATATATGCAAGTCTGCTGAGGCCCAAACTTCAAAACGAACTGCTCCACAGTGGCAGCCTCCCGTGTGCTTCACCAGGCCCTGGTATTCACTAAATGAAACAAAAATCAGAAAGATAAGAATTTCTGAATAGCTACCCCCGGCTCTTTGTTGTTGAAAGAAAGACGTAAGATTGGACAAAAGTCTTTTCTATGTGACAACCAAATGCATTTCTGCTTTAAAGGAGGCACTGCCAATTTTCTAAGCAAAGAATGGTTTCAGCACGTTCTTTGTCCATGAGCTCTCTTTTCTCCAATTTCTTTTTTTTCCCCTCCAATTTCTTAAATTGTATTAAGTTGCAAAATAAAACATTCCAAATATTTTGAAAATGTGAGGGATCTTAATCCCATCACCAAACGTTTTTATTTATACGTCAAATACTAAAAAATTTTATGAGCTAGGCATGAAGGAGACAGTAAACAAGATACAACAGACATGATTGCTGCTCTAACTGACCTTAACAAATTACTCAAATAATATTTAATTATGATTGTGATAAAGGAGGTATAGGATGCTATGAAAAATATGACTGGGTCTCAATCAAGTCCAAGGGTTCAGAAGAGCCTTTTGAGAAAGTTAATAAAGGCTCTTATATTTTTGCTCTATTTATTTCCAGTATCTTCAAACACATTTGTAATATATAGCTATAATACACATTACTTTCAATTTTTTTTTTTTTTTTTGAGATGGGGTTTTGCTTTTGTTGCCCAGGCTGGAGTGCAGAGGTGCAACTTCAGCTCATGCCAACCTCTGCTTCCCAGGTTCAAGCAATTCTCCTGCCTCAGCTTTCCAAGTAGTTTGGGATTACAGGCATGCGCCACCATGCCTGGCTAATCTTGTATTTTTAGTAGAGATGGGGTCTCAAACTCCAGACCTCAGGTGATCCACCCACCTCAGCCTCCCAAAGTGCTGGGATTACAGGCCTGAGCCACTGTGCCCAGCCTACATGCAATTGTAATCCTTTTAAAACTTATATATAAGCCAAACTCAGAAATGAACATTAAGATCTGATGTCATAAAATCGCTTTCCAAAAAGACTGAACACTCTTATCCCATGAGTGTAAATAAGAAAACATTTCACTGTACAGTCTCAGGCAATAATTACGGGAAAAATAGCTCACTGCAGTTTCAATTTGCATGATTAAGACTGATCATTTTTTCATATTTCTTTACAAGTTTATGTATTTTATTTTTTTCTGCATATATGTTTATTGTAAAAAATTCAAACATTACCATACTTGAGAGTGCTCAAAGTGAAAGCCTCCTGTAATCTTCACACCCACAAGGATCTACAGTTATTTCCTACATATTAACCCAAACTATTTTTCCATACAATATTTTCAAAAAATGGTAGTTACTACTTTTTGAATATAATTTAGTGGAGTTAATAAGTATAAAATCATGGCAATTTAGTGGGAGAAAAACATCTTTTTTAAATGTCAATATTTTAAATCTTTTTCTTGACCGTTTATCAGTTTGTCTTAAAAATTTACCTCAAATTTGAGTTTTACATTCCTCTTTTCTCTTTTTATATGCCTTGAAGACACTATGAGTTTTACATTCCGAAGGAACTTCATACTCCTTCTGCCCAGAGGCAGCCGTCACCCCATAGGTGCTCAAAAAATATTTGATGGATGAACGTGTTTTAAAAATTCAGTGTGCAGTCCAAGAAGAAAAACCAAAAAGTGAAGCACAGAGAAAACCAAATGTGTCTTCCGTCTGGGAAGACCCATCCTAACTAAGAGAATTTCTTCTGCAAGAAGCTCAAAGGAACACGTTCAAGAAAAGAAGTTTCTCAGGTTATGCAATTGCTAGGTAATTCTTGAGCTTTTTTCCCCTAGTGTTCTAATTGTTCTTTTTAATTCGTAAAATTGACACTGAAATATATTATCAGGGCGTTAAAATCTCTCTCTGTAGCACAACTGTTCCCCGAGGCAAGAATCCAGATCACATTTGGAGAAAAGAAGGCAGCCCTTTAACAGCTCTTTCCTAAACCACGGACACTCGGAGATGGTCCTCGGGCCATCTAAGTGACCGCGAAGCGGCCAGGAGGGCGAGCGGCCGGGAGCAAGAGTTGGCGGAGCACACAAAAGCCTCCCCAGTAGGTATCCCCGCCGCCGCGCGAGGCCTGAGCATCTCTTTGCGCGCGCTTCTCTCCCGGATCAATAACCCCCGCCCTCTGCTCCCTCCCTGGCAGCGTCTGCAACAATAACGGGATTTCGCTTCCCACTTAGTTCAAAACTACTCATGCTTCGCTCAACGCTTCTACCCTTCCCTTCCCCCCACCCTCAAAAACACGTGTGCAAACATAAAAAAACGGGATTCGGGTAAGAGAAAGCCATGGGATGTCTTCTTTTCACTGGAAAATGCCCCCACCCCCTTCGCGCACCAGGACAAAAGACAACGTCTCGGAGAACGATACTTGTGGCCAGGAGAGACCTTTCGTATCCCAAGACGGCCGCGGGCGCCTTCCGGACAAAGCCCACTTTCCATTCCCAGGCTACACAGCCCTAGAAGCGCAGCCCTGCCGCCCTTAGAATTTAGGGAACAACCCCAGTGCTAACGGAGAAGCGTGTCGGCTCCGTTATGTGGAAGGCGCAGAGCTGAAAGGCGCCCGAGGCCTGCGAGCAGGCAGCGGGAGCGGGCTGCCAGCCGGACTACCGACGCGGGGTGTCCGCGTGGCGCCGACTCCCCCGCGCCCCGGCCCGCTGCACTCACAAGGTGTCCAGCAGGAGCTTGGCAGCGCCCTCGGAGGTGAGCTTCTGCCGCTTCTGGAACGTTTCCCAGCGCTCCCGCTGCTCGCCCAGGTCCAGGGTGGACGCCGAGGATGTCGGGGTCGCGGGAGTCGGCGGCGGTGGTGGCGGGAGCAACGCCAGCTCCGGCGGCGGCGGCTCCCCCTGGCTCTCCTCTTGGGCCCGCGGCGACGAGCGCCTCAGCCGCCGCTTCTCCGACAGCGGCTTCGCCTCCGCCTGGCTCTTGCTCCCGGCCTGGCTCGTAGAGCGCAGTGCCCGGGTGGCGCTAGGGGTCGAAGCATCGGCCGTTGGGGCCGCCGGGGCCGCCGAAGCCTCGGAACGCTTCTGAGTGCGCACCTTGGCGGCGGCGGCACTCCTCGACCGCCGCATGGCTCCCGCAGCCTGGCGCGCAGGCCTCACAGCGCCGCGCGCAGGCCTCACAACACCGCGCGCCCCCGCCGTCCCGCGCGCGCCCCCGCCACCCGCCAGTCTTCAGGACCAGGGGTCACTGCGCCCGCTGCCCCGCTCAGCCCGCCGTGGCAGGCAACCCGGCGCCGGCCCTCAGGAGGGAAACCCGGCCCGCCCCGCCGCTGGGGCGCACCTGCAGGTTCAGTGCCCAGAGGGGTTACGCCGGGCCTACGCTCGCGATACCCAGAATCCACTCGCACCTGCGAAGGCGCCTCTGCCCTGTGTGAATCCAGCGGGCTCTTCGTACCTTTCCGACCTGGAGGGGCCTGGGTCGGGTCTCAATTCGCAGGCGCATCTGAGCGGGCAGACTGGGTAACTTCATCTCCAAAAACGAGCTAATTTGTGTAAACGGCCTGCCACCTGCTACGTCCTGGGTAACAGCGGCCGAAACCATAGTTCTTCAACTTCGTCTTTTCTGTCACGTACGGAACAGTGTCATGAGGACACTGAGGCAACCGATTTGGGGTTTCATTTTAATTAAATGAAAGACCCGCGCGTCGAATTTCATTAGTATGATTTGGCTGAACGCCGCACCAAAGTTTAAAGACAAAAGGCATGAGAATCATTGATGGAACCCAGATAGTCCCAAACCTATTAACTGCTCCATTTTATTCATATCTGCAAAGAAGGCGCGTTTTCTTTGACTCATTTTTCTTTTTCTACGTCTTTAATTTCTTCTTTCTTTATTATTATTATTTTTTGGAAACGGAGTTTCTCTCTTGTTGTCCAGGCTGAAATGCAATAGCGGGATCTCGGCTCACTGCAACCTCTGCCTCCCGAGTTCAAGAGATTCTCCTACCTCAGCCTCCGGAGTAGCTGGGATTACGGGTGTGCGCCACCACGCTCAGCTATTTTGTTTGTTTGTTTGTTTGTTTTTGAGGGGGGAGACGGAGTTTCTTTCTCTCTTGTTGCCCAGGCTGGAGTACAACGGCGCAATCTTGGCTCATCGAAACCTCCGCCTCCTGGGTTCAAGCGATTCTCCTGCCTCAGCCTTCCGAGTAGCTGGGATTACAGGCAGGCGCCACCATGCCTAGCTAATTTTGTATTTTTAGTAAAGATGGGATTCCAACATATTGGTCAGGCTGGTCTCGAACTCCCGACCTCAGGTGATCTGCCCAACTCGGCCTTCCAAAGTGCTGGGATTACAGGCATGAGCCACCACGCACAGCTTATCTTTCTTCTTTATTCTGATTTTCTTCATGGTATTGTTAGTTTATAGTTTATTGAATTAAAGGCATAGTTTAACTATTTTGTCTTTTTTTTTTTTTCTTCAGACAGGATCTGGCAGACTGGAGTTCAGTGTCGTGATCTCAGCCCATTGCAGCCATGAACTCCTGGCCTCAAGCAGTCCTCCCACCTCGGCCTCAGGAGTGGCTGGGAAAACAGGCGGAGGGTCCCACCACACTGGCTAATGGTTGCTGTTGTCTTGTAGAGACCGAATCTCCCTATGTTGCCCAGGCTGGTCTCTTAACTCCTGGCCTCAAGCGATCCTCTCGCCTAGTCCTCCTCAAGTGTTGGGATTACAGGTGTGAGTCACCGCACCCTACCTTGCTATTTTTGTTGTCGCTGTTGGAGTTAAGGTTTACACACAGCGACGTGCAAATATCTTTAATGTACATCTTGTTTTTATTTTTGAGACAAGGTCTCCCCCTGTCGCCCACTCTGGACTGCAGTAACATGATCCCATGCACTGCAACCTCCACCTCCCTGTCTCAACCAATTCTCCCACCTTAGCCTCTTGAGTAGCTAGGACCACAGGTGCCCACCAACACACACCACACAAACCACCAGCATTCCAGCAGGGTTAGGGGGTTGCAACAATATCATAGCAGCCTATTCAAGTAGCCAAGACTGGAAACACTAAATGTTCTTCAACCATAGATTAAATAAAGTGGTGGTTTACTTTATTAAAAGTGGTGGTTATCTAAAGTGGTGGTTAAGTAAAGGGCCGGGCGTGGTGCTTTACACCTGTAATCCCAGCACTTTGGGAGGCCGAGGCAGGCAGATCACTTGAGGTCAAGAGATCGAGACCAGCCTGGCCAACCTGTTGAAACTCCGTCTCTATTAAAGATACAAAATTAGCCGGGCGTGGTGGTGGACACCTATAATCCCAGCTACTCCGGAGGCTGAGGCAAGAGAATCGCTTGAACCCAGGAGGCGGAGGTTTCAGTGAGCCGAGATTGTGCTACTGCACCCCAGCCTGGTCGACAGAGTGAGACTTTTTTTTTTCTTAAAAAAAAAAAAAAAAGAGGCATAATCACATAACGGAATACTACACCATAATCAAAATGAGTGAACCACAGATATGTACAACAATATGGATTAATCTCACAGACATATTGAATAAAATAAGTCATACACAAGAGTATATGTTGTGTAAATACACTTAAATTCTAAATCAACTAAAACTATTTCATGGTGATGATATAAGAGAAGTGGCAGCTGGATGTAGTGGCTCATGCCTGTAATCTCAGTACTTGGGGAGGTCAAGGCAAGCAGATCACTTGAGCCCAGGAGTTCGAGACCAGCCTGGGCAACATAGTCAGGCCCCATCTCTATGAAAAATACACAAATTAGGTGGATGTCATGGCACGTACCTGTAGTCTCAGCTACTCAGGAGGCTGAGGTGGGAAGGAGGATTGCTTGAGCCCAAGAGATGGAAGCTGCAGTGAGCCGCAATTGCACCACCATACTCTACCCTGGGTGGCAGAGTGAGACCCTGTCTCAACAAAACAAAAGAAAACAAAAAAGTCCTGGGTGTAGGGAGTGGTTATCTTTTTTTTTTTTGAGAGGGAGTCCCACTCTCTCACCCAGGCTGGAGTGCAATGGCATAATCTCGGCTCACTGCA